GATTATGATAGAGGGCTGTGAGACTTTGACCTGAGTGCAAAAATGGAGGCTCTAGACCCTTCCAGAGCTGAGATATCGAAACTCAAAATTTCGACCCGAAAAAAAAAACGACAGTGTTACCCCTTACGTTTTTTTCATTTTGGGCGAAAAATTAAGTTTCTCCAATCTTCTCAAAACTCTGGATTATGATAGAGGGCCATGAGACTTTGACCTGAGTGCAAAAATGGAGGCTCTAGACCCTTCCAGAGCTGAGATATCGAAACTCAAAATTTCGACCCGAAAAAAAAAACGACAGTGTTACCCCTTTCGTTTTTTTTCGTTTTCGGGCGAAAAATTAAGTTTCTCCAATCTTCTCAAAACTCTGGATTATGATAGAGGGCCGTGAGACTTTGACCTGAGTGCAAAAATGGAGGCTCTAGACCCTTCCAGAGCTGAGATATCGAAACTCAAAATTTCGACCCGAAAAAAAAACGACAGTGTTACCCCTTACGTTTTTTTTAGTTTTCGGGCGAAAAATTAAGTTTCTCCAATCTTCTCAAAACTCTGGATTATGATAGAGGGCCACGAGACTTTGACCTGAGTGCAAAAATGGAGGCTCTAGACCCTTCCAGAGCTGAGATATCGAAACTCAAAATTTCGACCCGAAAAAAAAACGACAGTGTTACCCCTTACGTTTTTTTTCATTTTCGGGCGAAAAATCAAGTTTCTCCAATCTTCTCAAAACTCTGGATTATGATAGAGGGCCGCGAGACTTTGACCTGAGCGCAAAAATGGAGGCTCTAGACCCTTCCAGAGCTGAGATATCGAAACTCAAAATTTCGACCCGAAAAAAAAAACGACAGTGTTACCCCTTACGTTTTTTTCAGTTTTCGGGCGAAAAATCAAGTTTCTCCAATCTTCTCAAAACTCTGGATTATGATAGAGGGCCGCGAGACTTTGACCTGAGCGCAAAAATGGAGGCTCTAGACCCTTCCAGAGCTGAGATATCGAAACTCAAAATTTCGACCCGAAAAAAAAACGACAGTGTTACCCCTTACGTTTTTTTCAGTTTTCGGGCGAAAAATCAAGTTTCTCCAATCTTCTCAAAACTCTGGATTATGATAGAGGGCCGCGAGACTTTGACCTGAGCGCAAAAATGGAGGCTCTAGACCCTTCCAGAGCTGAGATATCGAAACTCAAAATTTCGACCCGAAAAAAAAACGACAGTGTTACCCCTTACGTTTTTTTCAGTTTTCGGGCGAAAAATCAAGTTTCTCCAATCTTCTCAAAACTCTGGATTATGATAGAGGGCCGCGAGACTTTGACCTGAGCGCAAAAATGGAGGCTCTAGACCCTTCCAGAGCTGAGATATCGAAACTCAAAATTTCGACCCGAAAAAAAAACGACAGTGTTACCCCTTACGTTTTTTTCAGTTTTCGGGCGAAAAATCAAGTTTCTCCAATCTTCTCAAAACTCTGGATTATGATAGAGGGCCGCGAGACTTTGACCTGAGCGCAAAAATGGAGGCTCTAGACCCTTCCAGAGCTGAGATATCGAAACTCAAAATTTCGACCCGAAAAAAAAACGACAGTGTTACCCCTTACGTTTTTTCATTTTTGGGCGAAAAATCAAGTTTCTCCAATCTTCTCAAAACTCTGGATTATGATAGAGGGCCGCGAGACTTTGACCTGAGCGCAAAAATGGAGGCTCTAGACCCTTCCAGAGCTGAGATATCGAAACTCAAAATTTCGACCCGAAAAAAAAAACGACAGTGTTACCCCTTACGTTTTTTTTCAGTTTTCGGGCGAAAAATCAAGTTTCTCCAATCTTCTCAAAACTCTGGATTATGATAGAGGGCCGCGAGACTTTGACCTGAGCGCAAAAATGGAGGCTCTAGACCCTTCCAGAGCTGAGATATCGAAACTCAAAATTTCGACCCGAAAAAAAAACGACAGTGTTACCCCTTACGTTTTTTTCAGTTTTCGGGCGAAAAATCAAGTTTCTCCAATCTTCTCAAAACTCTGGATTATGATAGAGGGCCGCGAGACTTTGACCTGAGTGCAAAAATGGAGGCTCTAGACCCTTCCAGAGCTGAGATATCGAAACTCAAAATTTCGACCCGAAAAAAAAACGACAGTGTTACCCCTTACGTTTTTTTCAGTTTTCGGGCGAAAAATCAAGTTTCTCCAATCTTCTCAAAACTCTGGATTATGATAGAGGGCCGCGAGACTTTGACCTGAGCGCAAAAATGGAGGCTCTAGACCCTTCCAGAGCTGAGATATCGAAACTCAAAATTTCGACCCGAAAAAAAAACGACAGTGTTACCCCTTACGTTTTTTTCAGTTTTCGGGCGAAAAATCAAGTTTCTCCAATCTTCTCAAAACTCTGGATTATGATAGAGGGCCGCGAGACTTTGACCTGAGCGCAAAAATGGAGGCTCTAGACCCTTCCAGAGCTGAGATATCGAAACTCAAAATTTCGACCCGAAAAAAAAACGACAGTGTTACCCCTTACGTTTTTTTCAGTTTTCGGGCGAAAAATCAAGTTTCTCCAATCTTCTCAAAACTCTGGATTATGATAGAGGGCCGCGAGACTTTGACCTGAGCGCAAAAATGGAGGCTCTAGACCCTTCCAGAGCTGAGATATCGAAACTCAAAATTTCGACCCGAAAAAAAAACGACAGTGTTACCCCTTACGTTTTTTTCAGTTTTCGGGCGAAAAATCAAGTTTCTCCAATCTTCTCAAAACTCTGGATTATGATAGAGGGCCGCGAGACTTTGACCTGAGCGCAAAAATGGAGGCTCTAGACCCTTCCAGAGCTGAGATATCGAAACTCAAAATTTCGACCCGAAAAAAAAACGACAGTGTTACCCCTTACGTTTTTTTCAGTTTTCGGGCGAAAAATCAAGTTTCTCCAATCTTCTCAAAACTCTGGATTATGATAGAGGGCCGCGAGACTTTGACCTGAGCGCAAAAATGGAGGCTCTAGACCCTTCCAGAGCTGAGATATCGAAACTCAAAATTTCGACCCGAAAAAAAAACGACAGTGTTACCCCTTACGTTTTTTTCAGTTCGGGCGAAAAATCAAGTTTCTCCAATCTTCTCAAAACTCTGGATTATGATAGAGGGCCGCGAGACTTTGACCTGAGCGCAAAAATGGAGGCTCTAGACCCTTCCAGAGCTGAGATATCGAAACTCAAAATTTCGACCCGAAAAAAAAACGACAGTGTTACCCCTTACGTTTTTTTCAGTTTTCGGGCGAAAAATCAAGTTTCTCCAATCTTCTCAAAACTCTGGATTATGATAGAGGGCCGCGAGACTTTGACCTGAGCGCAAAAATGGAGGCTCTAGACCCTTCCAGAGCTGAGATATCGAAACTCAAAATTTCGACCCGAAAAAAAAACGACAGTGTTACCCCTTACGTTTTTTTCAGTTTCGGGCGAAAAATCAAGTTTCTCCAATCTTCTCAAAACTCTGGATTATGATAGAGGGCCGCGAGACTTTGACCTGAGCGCAAAAATGGAGGCTCTAGACCCTTCCAGAGCTGAGATATCGAAACTCAAAATTTCGACCCGAAAAAAAAACGACAGTGTTACCCCTTACGTTTTTTTTTCAGTTTTCGGGCGAAAAATCAAGTTTCTCCAATCTTCTCAAAACTCTGGATTATGATAGAGGGCCGCGAGACTTTGACCTGAGCGCAAAAATGGAGGCTCTAGACCCTTCCAGAGCTGAGATATCGAAACTCAAAATTTCGACCCGAAAAAAAAACGACAGTGTTACCCCTTACGTTTTTTTCAGTTTTCGGGCGAAAAATCAAGTTTCTCCAATCTTCTCAAAACTCTGGATTATGATAGAGGGCCGCGAGACTTTGACCTGAGCGCAAAAATGGAGGCTCTAGACCCTTCCAGAGCTGAGATATCGAAACTCAAAATTTCGACCCGAAAAAAAAACGACAGTGTTACCCCTTACGTTTTCGTTTTCGGGCGAAAAATTAAGTTTCTCCAATCTTCTCAAAACTCTGGATTATGATAGAGGCCGCGAGACTTTGACCTGAGTGCAAAAATGGAGGCTCTAGACCCTTCCAGAGCTGAGATATCGAAACTCAAAATTTCGACCCGAAAAAAAAAAAACGACAGTGTTACCCTTACGTTTTTTTCAGTTTTCGGCGCGAAAAATTAAG